CACTGTCGTCTCGATATCACGTTTTCAAGCACATCAACAAACGAACAATTCATATCAATAAGGTAACTAATAACAATACTATAACCATAATATTACTAAAACAATAATAAAAAACTAACACAAGCGCAGATACACACGAATAGTACATCAAGCTCTCGAACGGCGGTCTCGGCAATGCGGAATGACACTTGGATAGTAAATGTCTTGGTACCGACGCACCCAGTGGGAACAGCCACGATGTTCCATTCATATGCATGTAGAACTGCAATGCCGCTTCATTCCACGACATCAAAAAGTCTGGTGTATACCTGTAATCATCAACCACATCGTCATATGGGCATTACCGTTATATTGTCATTATCATAACATCACCGCCATCGTATCGGTTATTTGCAATACAAGATACTGAGTATAAGCATTTCTATAGCATTATTATAATATCATAAAATCAGGTCACCATTCGCAAAATTAATTCTTCTTTTGTTCACATTTTCGACGGTGTTTTCAAAAGAAAATCTCCGTTAGTATTTTTATTATTACCGTTTTCATTCACAATAATCAACGTTTGATTGTTTGCAATAAAAGCTGAATAAACAACAACAATCACAAAACCAACACTTAAATACAACTGCAAAGCAAATAACTAACGCGATGTCAACGATATGCGATTGATTCGGTGCGAGTGTGAAGGGATGACAGTTCAGAATCTTGAAACCACGATTCTCGCAAGCGATATTATTCAGACTCATATTCACGATCGTGAATGCCACCTCGCCCGTGTTCACCACCGTAAACGACCGTTTCACAGTCAGTGTCGTGAACAGTTTATGGGTTAGGCCTTTAATTTCATGCAGCATTCATTATACATTACAATACAACTATTTATATATCTTTCGCCCAATTTTTTCATTGATTGAATTTACACAATTCAAAGGAAAACAGCATTCAAATGAATGCCTGCAATAGAAATGACGAACTGCCGATCGGGTTGGTTAGAAGTTTAACGCATTTGTATTCTGATGAAATGTTTTTAAATCTATGAGAAGTGTGCGATATTTCTACAGTACTGACACAATGCCATAACGAAACTGAGCACAAATGACGGAAATTGAACCCAGGATCATTGGATTGCAATTTAATCTTTTGTAGACGTAAGCGTAAGCTAACTATAAGCCTGATTGTGAGCCTAATCTCAACAGATGACGCTGGATTGCACATTTAATGTACTGACGACTCAAATTAGATCAAATGCAACTGAATTGAATAAAATGATCAAGAGAGAACAGAAATGAA